AAGAGTATTGAGTTTTCATTCATAATGTGGTTGGTTTCATTTCTGAAAATTAATTTTCCTTTTTTGTAATTGAATTATAAATTCATTTCGGTAACAAATAAAAAATACAACTAAGACAACAGCCAGTAAAAAAATTTTATTATAAATTCATTTTGTAATTATATTAGATTTTATTTATTTTTAAAAAGATCAAATAATGACCTTGTCATCGTACTTTGATTCTAAATCATAAGACAACTTTCAGTCGATGACGGTGACCCAAAAAAATACCTTCACAAAGTGGACATGATGAAGACGTTAACGCATGCACCGTTGCAATGTTAGCAGAGTATGACGGTCTGTTAGTTTCTAAGTCGTTTATTTTTGCGCAACGATGCCATCTTACAAGACTACGCTTACTATGTCATACACATGTCCAGGTCTGCTAATCCTCGCTCAAATCAACAACTTCGGAGTCTGAGTAATCTGAAAGGTCAGGGTCCGACACCAGTGCAGGATCCTCCATTATAGCCTTTATCGCAGATGCCGGGTTCGATCCATGTATCTTCGACTCTGCCTTTGCGTCCTCTATCTGTGAGTTCCTAATGAGTCGACGAGTCATTTGATCAACCTCACTTTGCAAACGATGCCTAAGTTGGGAGTCGCTGACATGAGGGAATTGCCGCTGCATTTCAACCGATCGGGCTTTTGTGACCTTCAGAAAAGCACATCGACAGTGGTGTTCACACTGAACTCATTTGGCAAACAGTGAAACTGGAATTCCAAAATACTTCCCCAGGCAAGCATCTTGTATTGGGGTGCCGTTGTAATCCCGTAGAGGTTCAAAACTCCACAGTGGGAACCCTGTTTCAAAGAAATGTCGATCACCGAAGGAATCGATATACCCACCTGCATAATCCAATTCTGGTGTCTTCGGTCGGGAGCTGCCAGCCGTTGCAAGTGATTGTCTACGACCACGTTTACCGTGGTGTGCATCCATAGGTGTGAAGCTTCTTGATTGAGTCCAACTTTGTTTTCGCAGGTTCACGAAGAATATATGGACGCAAAAACAAACCCAAATGCAAAGGAAACAACACTGGTTGCAAACTTTTTTGTGGTTGGTTGTAAATGTTAAATTACCTTCAACCCATAGTCATTAATACATTGGTGGTAGGTTTAAAGACGTGAACACACTTATTGTTGTTTGGTGGCAACAACTACCCAAACTGCGTAAAAGCAACTTAATGACTGCGGGTATTGCATTTAAAGGTTCGGTGCAATTGGAACGGCATATGTATCTGATAAGAGCAATTTTGCTAACCTTTATGGATGAGTAGACATGTAATTGGGTTGGGCACAAATACAAATGACGAATGTGACTGTATGATGAACTGTGGGTGTGGAAATCAATAACAGTGGGATAGTACTGATGGAAGGTACAATGCATGTGTGTTGGAAATGCCAAATAATGGATGATCAGGGGTACTGAACGGATGACTTGGTGCATGCAAGAAGGAACGAATTTTTGCAAGATGAATTCGGCCAGTTTGAGAAATTAATACGATGTATGTCACAATGCATGAGGTCTTCTGCAAACATACAAGTCATGTACCATATATTACAAATACTTACAGCATAGTGTTGTGTAATATTATGAATCTGTACATTCCTTTAAAAAAGTAGTCAGTAAAATAAACCATACACATATTCCTACAAAATGTCCGATTCGAACAAGATTGAAGCTATTGTTGAAGCTCATGTTGCTCCTGTATTCCAGCAGTTGCAAGCTATCTACGAAAGGCTGAATGAAGTGGACACACGGTTGTCAAGTTTGGAGCGGCAAGTCGGCGCTATCAAGCAGAACGTTGATTGGCTGACCGATGACAAATTGGCGGCGGACGAAGCGAAGTCTGATAAGACAATGGATGAGGACAGTCAGTCAGACAGTACGGACAACTCTTCAGAAGACGCTGCTGATGATGCAGCAGATATGTAGATTTGATTTATTTTTTTTTTATCCTTCCCTGTAAGCCATTAAAGTTTTTTTTTGGCTGGAGTCATATGTGCTAATGGGCTGATATATAACTTACCTACGAAGAGTATTGAGTTTTCATTCATAATGTGGTTTCTTTCATTTTTGAAAATTAATTTTCCCTTTTTTGTAATTAAATTATAAATTAACTTTGGTAACAAAAGCAGTCGTAAATTATATACAGTTACAGTCGCATTCATCCGAACAAGAAACATGCGTAAACAAAATAGTACTAAGTCAGCAGCCACGTCGACATGTTTGATCCATGTTTACAGTTGGTCCATATTTACATCGTCCAGCAAAAACAATACTGGGGACCCATAATTAACATCCATATTGAAATCAAAGAATAAAAAATTAGTTAAAGTCCTATTGCCACCCAAATTAGTGGCGTACTGGCAGCCCATTCCCATCACTGGCCTAGCTTGTGGCATTGCTCATATGAAGGCAGTCCCGGTACTCTGCGATCTTTGCATTATTGACATCCATAACGATGTCAACCAACAACTTATGACGCACAGAGGGAGCGAACTTTGTCCACAAAAATCGTAAGACAAATCAGTTAAAATTGGAGGACGTACGAGGAAGGATTTGATTGACAAATGGAAATTAAGCGGTAGAATGTACCTTGTGTGGACCGGGGCTTAAATCAGGTTGCTGCATGAATTTGATGACGAACATCCCACAGTCAAACGTGCTACAAAAATAATTTCACATTAAAGTTGTCGTCAATACGTAATAGGTTCATTAAGTCAGTCATGCAGCTTAGACATTAATGTGAGGGAGGGATTGTGGATTACTCGTCCAGTTGTTGTACTGGCCTCTCGTCTAACATGCAGCGGTGGAAGGTACGCACGTCTGTAACATAATCATTTCCAAAGTGTAGTTGCAGCAAGTCGTGCATAGTTTCAACCTGTTCCACAAGGTTGAAGTTGGTTTACGTAAAGGATGTTCAAGTTTTTTGTAGTGTTCAGAAATGCACCAGAAGGACATACCAAAATTTTAGCTGCATTTAGCTTCCTTTTGTTCGGTCGGTTGGATGGGACTGAGTCGAATAGGTAGGCTACACGGTCCACCATATCAATTTTAACGCACAACCAATGCACTCCTCTGTAATTGAAAGGCACGTAAATCTACACGAAAACACAACGGCAGACCTTGTTTAGAGGCCATGCAAACATGTAATGGCTTTCATATTTTCGTTTTAATATAACGGGATGAACATTGATATTACCCTCTGGCATGCATCAATCGCACCAGTGTATCTGTCATGTCCGAAAAATGATGTGACGATATGTTCATGGTCCAGAGGTTGCATATCTTTATTTAGAATCATAGTCTGCATGTGTAATGCGTAAAGGTCATTGACGGAAACATTTGTCAAAATATGTCATACACAATACACAACGTAGCTTTAAACACTTACTTACCGACAGATATACGGGAAAGAACCAATCAGTGTGCCTCCCGTCATTGTGTAAATCCCTCTGTCGATTAGTCAATTGCACCACCACCAAGTTGATTGGCTGGAACATTGTATGCAAGACACAAGGCAAGTTGATTAGAAAGGTTTCTGAGTTAGGGGTACTGAAAAACGCAGATTCATATTTGTGCAGCCAACACTTACAGTGTCGGATAGCCACGACCCTGGTTTGAGCGTGCGCATGTCACGCCGGGTGCCAACTTCACATGCCCGTCCATGAAGATTCATGGAAACAACAATGTCCCTACAAGCAATAAATGATCCTTAGAACGATAGTTATTTCACAGTGGACTGTCATTGAAAATTTGCAAGTAGTAAATGAAACAATACATTTCATTTTTGCTATCGTCAAATACATAGTGAAGAAGTTTTTGTTCCTCCGCCGATAACAACCCTTCGCTGTCCAACATCGTCAACGAGTCCTACAAAAATAAACAGCCAACTAACAGTACACATTTCATAAAAATATTGAAGCTTATATTACAAGGTCTGTAGTCATAAAAAAAACGTGAAATGATGTAAAAACTGTGAGCCCCAGAGTTTTCCCAACTTGTGATGTTTGGTGCGGAGTTTGTTAGAAATGTGTACTAACATATGGCAGCAGTCATAACTGCAAACATGCAATTCTTTGACAACTAGTGTACATCTGAAATATTACACTCCATTGGGTTAACTTCGTCCGATGGTTTGACCACGCCATCCTCATGCGCCTCAACTCCAACAGCAGGGTCCACACCCTGTTTGGCCACACCTGCCGGTTGTAGTGTAGAGAATATACCTTCGATGAGGTGGTGTAGCATTTGCTTCAGTTCACGTAAATTGGTTTGTTCAGTGAACGGTTCGTTGCAGCCCAAACTGAAACGTTGAAGCAGTTGCTTCAGCATTTCCTTCAGTTGAGCAACATTGGAGGAGAGGTTAATGATACACACATCATTGCCTTCCACCTAATTATACATACACATTCGTGAACTTAGTCTTACAAACCATCTTCAAATGATGTGGCTCAACTGTGTGAAAATTGCGTAATGCTTGGATGGATTACCTTGTCATTGCGAACAACTTGCTTGCCTTCGAAATGTCGCAACATCTCCATTAAATCTGTTTGGTTATGGAGAACTTGCTTTATCATTTCCTTCAGTTCACGAATGTCGGACTCCAAATTGCTCATACGGACTTCATTATACTGTCCTGTTTGTTGGTTCTCGACATGGCATGCATCCATGTCAGCATCATCGGCATTACTATAATCAAACTCCACCTAATCATAGAAACGCATAAATGAAGTCTGACATTGTATGTTGAAGACAAGTGGGTCGATGGTGTGAAATGTGCACAGTGGTAGGAGTGCTTACCGCAATTGTTGGGAAATTTTGCTTCCTTCTGATACGTCGCAGCGTCTCCCGTATTTGGGTATCACCCCAATCATGAAGCCGAGGTGTGGACCGCGTCGTAGTCGAGCTCAGACAAACACAATCAAGGTACAACAGCTGTGGACATTAAGGGGCACACCATAATTAAGTTGTTCTTCCCACAGAAATGAACTATATTCAGTAACAATGACATTCATTATTCTCAATTTTGCAGTGGAACGTATATAGCATACCGATTTTGTTAAGGATGCTGTCAACTTTATAGGCACAGATCATGCAATGTTTTTTGGGGAAAAAATTGTACAGCACACCAAGGACTTTATTGATGAAACCAAGAAAAAAAATTTATGTACATGTTCCCCTCTTCGCAACGTAGTTTTAATTGGTTCCTCCATTGAGGTTCGGCATACTTTTTGCCATGTACTCTTTGTTCTTAAATTCATGACGGTAGTCACACAAAATTTATTTCTGCAAGTACCATACTTGGTCAGGAAGAGTGCTGTTTGTCGTACTCACAAAGCAGGTACCATTGTATGTCCCAATCAAGGCCAATTTGTTGAACCATGACAGAACAATGCATGAAACACATGAAGGGGGGAATGGAAAAAAAAAATCAAGTTATTGGCATACCATTAGCAGGAAAACACATCCAGTTGCACCGCGATGACCTTTATACTTCCGAACACCGTTGTGAAGGAATTGCAGTGTCAACTTTGCCCAATTACAAGCTCGCATACGATTCACGTCCTTCACGGCATGAATGAACGATGGCTTCAACCCGGTCATTGTGGTAGGACACAACATGGCCCCCAATACGTACAGCGCAAATTTTCGCCGAAACTCGTCCTCCGCACCAGCAGTCTCAGTCAGATAAAGTCTCAACTTGTTCAAAGGAATGACTCCGTTAACAACTCCAACCTCATCGTAGATATTGGGATATGCTTCCAATGACCCAGCCAACTGCACGTCATCGCCTTCACACCGTATTCCCAATAAAACATTAACTGCCTTACACGTGAGCCTGACTTGACAACCATGAACATTCAATGAACTACTGTCAGGATCGAAGTTCTGTACCAACCATGCGCACAAGTCGTGATCTATACGTGTACACTTCATCCCCAGGAGGCCAGCAAACCCAATGTCAATGACTGCCTGCTTTTGTGCTTCGTTGAACCGGTTAACTAGCTCAACAATTGACTTCAATGATATGCGGAGTTGCCTTTTACCCTGCACATTTTTTACCCTTAAATTAATACAAAAATACAACCAACAATGTCAGCAAAGCAGGACCTAGCCAAATGCATTTACGAAAACATGAAGTACGTAATGACCTTTTCAGACTTCGGTGCACATGGTACTACTTTGGCGTGTTCCTCAGCGCTCGCCTTAGCCATTTCCACAAACCTCTTTTTCTCATCAGAGGGGAGTGCCTTCCACCTTTCCCCAATCTCCTTTCTAGGCTTTAACCAAGAAAATGACAGACGTACAAGACAAGTAACAACTATGAGTCCGAGATTACTGTAACTACAACTTTATGCCAAATGCAATCCGTGTGCATTGTTGGTAATTAAATAAGATTGCAAATACAAATAACAGTTGCAGCAAAAAGTCAGCGACAAAACGTAGCTGGACTTTTACAACGAATTGAAATTTACAAAAACAATAGGAAGGTGACATTATTACATGCTACAATCCTACAAACGCGAAACAATCACAAGCCCACTACGACCATTCAATACAACCTGTGGATAGCAACCCAGCGATGTGTTTCCATCATACTGTATTATAGAGAATACAGATTTCAACACTCACCATTTTTCGTCGAGTGTTGTCTGGCCCTTGCATTTCCTTGAATTGTTGCTGGCTGCATGCAAGCATCGTCAAGCTTATCATCGCTAAATGTGAAATATGAATACATATATATATATATATATGCAAGTTTTTATGTCAAGCTGGCCCCGAAATCGACATGAGACAACTTTCGTACATCCAGGACTGAATCGACACCAAGGTAAACATTTTCAGACATGCGGAACAAAACCAATTTGAAACATCACAAACTGAACTTCGACGAGGCGCGTAATTTCAGTACGAAATATGTAATTCCAGATTGTCAAAATAAACAACTAGTACCTGTAACAAATGAATGGTGCAACTGGCCGCTTTCGACAAGAGCCAGCGATAGTGTCAGACATTTGGATATGTTGTTCGGCAATTGTCTTCAATCTTTTCCTTCCCCTTATGAAAGAGCAAATCATTCAAATTAGATTGAAGGGAGAATTACAGGGGTGGTGTACACATTTTGTCCGTTGTCTAATTTCGATCGATGCACTTTAAACTACCTAAATTGTGACAGTCCATTTCAAATTTCGTGGACATTTTCGGTCAAATTGCTAATGCCGTTTGTCATTTTTAAAACAAAGATTGTAATGTCAATTGATTGAGATTATGTAAGTTCAGTAAAGTTATAAGTTGACTACAACAAAAAGTACAGTTGCCACGTATATGCATATTTTCTGATACAAAACAGTGAAGAGTTAAAATCAAATGGACGTAATTGAAACAAAAGTTCAAAATTGATGGTGCAAAGCGAGGCCATTCAAAATTTGTGCAAAACAAATAACACAAACACAAAAGTACAAGGGCTACTGTAAGAATTGATCCGGAAAAAAATCAGCGTATTCCTTGGTGATGGATTTCGTTTGTTTACAAACATATGTACGAAACCAACTGGTAGCAAGTCTTTAAGGAGAAAACTAACATTGTTGGTGCGAGGTGACCAATATCCATCAGATGCAATGGCGACAACTCCTGCAAAGTATTGCAATCAATATTTACAAGAACACAAACAAACGGCTGCAACATGTAGCTGTTAACCTTAAAATTTTGCGTAAACACAGACAACAACACGCAGAATTTCCCAACACATATACAGATTTTGAAACAGACAAAAGAAAGGGCACACATGGAAATTTTTCATTTCGTTCACACAGCTTACAATTAAAACAATTATGTGTACAAGCGATAAATGCATAATTTCACAAATATTCAAGAGGAAGGACTACATTGTGTTTTTCATTTAGGGCTGAAGGACTACACGCACATACTTTTATGAAGGCCCGCCTACAAATGACAAAGAAGCAACTGAACTATTTCATGACGGGGTTAAACAATCAGGACACGATTCTTCTGTGACAGAAATTGGTGCTCATCCTAGGCACAAAAACCAGATGAAACCCCATCCATCAAGTTGAGAGCTTCAATTTCCTACTGAGCAACTTGGTTGCAGAGAATCGAGGTGGCTGCATCGTGGCCCATGCTCCATTACCTTCGGGTGGTCAGACAGTGGGCAGATCAGAGAAGAATACTTTTCCAGGCGTACAAGCAAGTTTCATCAATTGTATGTCACAATGAAACAAACAAGGAAATTGAAGCCCTCAACTTGATGGATGGGGTTTCATCTGGTTTTCGTGCCTGGGATGAGCACCAATTTCTGTCACAGAAGAATCGTGTCCTGATTGTTTAACCCCGTCATGAAATAGTTCAGTTGCTTCTTTGTCATTTGTAGGCGGGCCTTCATAAAAGTATGTGCGTGTAGTCCTTCAGCCCTAAATAAAAAACACAATGTAGTCCTTCCTCTTGAATATTTGTGAAATTATGCATTTATCGCTTCTACACATAATTGTTTTAATTGTAAGCTGTGTGAAAGAAATGCAAAATTTCCATGTGTGCCCTTTCTTTTGTCTGTTTCAAAATCTGTATATGTGTTGGGAAATTCTTGGATATTAGACAAGGACTGAAGGCAAACTTCTTCCTTAATCTGTTAGGGTTGTCCGACTCAGGTGGGGAGAAGGTATTGGTTTTCAGCCATCGTCTCCGGCCACTTAAGTTGTTGGATAGGCCAGCCATCAAGTTGAGGGCTTCAATTTCCTACTGAGCAACTTGGTTGCAGAGAATCGAGGTGGCTGCATCCTGGCCCATGCTCTATTACCTTCGGGTGCTCAGACAGTGGGCAGATCAGAGAAGAATACTTTTCCGGGCGTACAAACAAGTTTCATCAATTGTATGTGACAATGAAACAAGCAAGACTGCCACTGCCTGCCAAAAAATATTACTAACGTACCCATCCATTCTCATTCTGCACGAAGGTCATAAAAAAGACAAATGAGAGTACGCATTTCATTTCTACGCTCAATGAAGTTCAAACAGCCCGCAACTCATGAATGACAGCTACCTTCCTCTTCAAATGTAACTGCTGTATATATATGCAAGATGATAACTTCAATAGAAAGGTAACCGTCATTCAAAAGTTGCGTGCAATGACAGGCAAGGTTGTCCATTTCTACAAATTAGATTTTCTTCGTGAATTGCCTGGGCTTGTTGACCTCTCTGAATTTCTTCACGTCACCCTTACGACAGTTCGTGAAGTTGAAGAACTAAACAACGTAGTTAAGAAGTTGAACATCACCTGGGATGGGAGCACACTGTATGTGCACGCACAGTTGAGATCCCTTCTAAAGATTTCACCTACAGACACGTCAACCACAGAAACAGAGGGCATTGACGATGCCCGGATGGACCACATCTTAGAAAAGTTGGATATTAGACAAGGATTGAAGCCAAACTTCTTCCTTAATCTGTTAGGGTTGTCCGACTCAGATGGGGAGAAAGTATTGGTTTTCAGCCATCGTCTCCGGCCACTTAAGTTGTTGGAAAGGCTAGCCATGAAAGTGAATGCTTCAACTCTTGATTCAGAATTGGGTGTGGGAACGAATAGCTCTCTACAAAATTTGGAAATCGTCATCCTCATTTCAACTCTTTCAATTGGCTTTCCTATGTTTTAAGTTGAATACCGTCAACTATGCATGAACTTCAGCACTGAAAGAAAGAGTTGTTTACTGTGTTACACGGACTCGGGTACGGGTCCCAGGTGCGGTATGCATGTACAGGTCCGACTCATTATATCTTAACCCTACATTTCGTGTCCTGATTGTTTAACCCCGTCATGAAATAGTTCAGTTGCTTATTTGTCATTTGTAGTCAGGCCTTCATAAAAGTATGTGCGTGTAGTCATTCAGCCCTAAATGAAAAACACAATGTAGTCCTTCCTCTTGAAGATTTGGGAAATTATGCATTTATCGCTTGTACACATAATTGTTTTAATTGTAAGCTGTGTGAACGAAATGCAAAATTTCCATGTGTGCCCTTTCTTTTGTCTGTTTCAAAATCTGTATATGTGTTGGGAAATTCTGCGTGTTGTTGTCTGTGTTTACGCAAAATTTTGAGGTTAACAGCCACATGTTGCAGCCGTTTGTTTGTGTTCTTGTAAATATTGATTGGAATACTTTGCAGGAGTTGTTGTCATTGCATCTGATGGATATTGGTCACCTCGCACCAACAATGTTAGTTTTCTCCTTAAAGACTTGCTACCAGTTGGTTTCGTACATATGTTTATAAACAAACGAAATCCATCACCAAGGAATACGTTGATTTTTTTCTGGATCAATTCTTACAGATGCCCTTGTACTTTTGTGTTTGTGTTATTTGTTTTGCACAAATTTTGAATGGCCTCGCTTTGCACCATCAATTTTGAACTTTTGTTTCAATTACGTCCATTTGATTTCAACTCTTCACTGTTTTGTATCAGAAAATATGCATATACGTGGCAACTGTACTTTTTGTTGTAGTCAACTTATAACTTTACTGAACTTACATAATCTCAATCAATTGACATTTCAATCTTTGTTTTAAAAATGACAAACGGCATTAGCAATTTGACCGAAAATGTAAAATGTCCACGACATTTGAAATCACAATTTAGGTAGTTTAAAGTGCATCGATCGAAATTAGACAACGGACAAAATGTGTACACCACCCCTGTAATTTTCCCTTCAATCTAATTTGTATGATTTGCTCTTTCATAAGGGGAAGGAAAAGATTGAAGACAATTGCCGAACAACATATCCAAATGTCTGACACTATCGCTGGCTCTTGTCGAAAGCGGCCAGTTGCACCATTCATTTGTTACAGGTACTAGTTCTTTATTTTGACAATCTGGAATTACATATTTCGTACTGAAATTACGCACCTCGTCGAAGTTCAGTGTGTGATGTTTCAAATTGGTTTTGTTCCGCATGTCTGAAAAAGTTTAACTTGGTGTCGATTCAGTCCCGGATGTACGAAAGCTGTCTTATGCCGATTTCAGGGCCAGCGTGACATAAAAACTTGCATATATATATATATATATATGTATTCATATTTCACATTTAGTGATGATAAGCTTGACGATGCTTGCATGCAGCCAACAACAATTCAAGGAAATGCAAGGGCCAGACAACACTCGACGAAAAATGGTGAGTGTTGAAATCTGTATTCTCTATAATACACTATGATGGAAACACATGGCTGGGTTGCTATTCACGCGTTGTATTGAATGGTCGTAGTGGGCTTGTGATTGTTTCGCGTTTGTAGGATTGTAGCATGTAATAATGTCACCTTCCTATTGTTCTTGTAAATTTCAATTCGTTGTAAAAGTCCACCTACGTTTTGTCGCTGACTTTTGGCTGCAACTGTTATTTGTATTTGCAATCTTATTTAATTACCAACAATGCACACGGATTGCGTTTGGCATAAAGTTGTAGTTACAGTAATTTTGGACTCATAGTTGTTACTTGTCTTGTACGTCTGTCATTTTCTTGGTTAAAGACTAGAAAGGAGATTGGGGAAAGGTGGAAGGCACTCCCCTCTGATGAGAAAAAGAGGTTTGTCGAAATGGCTAAGGCGAGCGCTGAGGAACACGCCAAAGTAGTACCATGTGCACCGAAGTCTGAAAAGGTCATTACGTACTTCATGTTTTCGTAAATGCATTTGCCTAGGTCCTGCTTTGCTGACATTGTTGGTTGTATTTTTGTATTAATTTAAGGGTAAAAAATGTACAGGGTAAAAGGCAACTCCGCATATCATTGAAGTCAATTGTTGAGCTAGTTAACCGGTTCAACGAAGCACAAAAGCAGGCAGTCATTGACATTGGGTTTGCTGGCCTCCTGGGGATGAAGTGTACACGTATAGATCACGACTTGTGCGCATGGTTGGTACAAAACTTCGATCCTGACAGTAGTTCATTGAATGTCCATGGTTGTCAAGTGAGGCTCACGTGTAAGGCAGTTAATGTTTTATTGGGAATACGGTGTGAAGGCGATGACGTGCAGTTGGCTGGGTCATTAGAAGCATATCCCAATATCTACGATGAGGTGGGAGTTGTTAACGGAGTCATTCCTTTGAACAAGTTGAGACTTTATCTGACCGAGACTGCTGGTGCGGAGGACGAGGTTCGGCGGAAATTTGCGCTGTACGTGTTGGGGGCCATGTTGTGTCCTACCACAATGACCGGGTTGAAGCCATCGTTCATTCATGCCGTGAAGGACGTGAATCGTATGCGAGCTTGTAATTGGGCAAAGTTGACACTGCAATTCCTTCACAACGGTGTTCGCAAGTATAAAGGTCATCGCGGTGCAACTGGATGTGTTTTCCTGCTAATGGTATGCCAATACCTTCAACAATGTTAGTTTTCTCCTTAAAGACTTGCTACCAGTTGGTTTCGTACATATGTTTGTAAACAAACGAAATCCATCACCAAGGAATACGCTGATTTTTTTCCGGATCAATTCTTACAGCAGCCCTTGTACTTTTGTGTTTGTGTTATTTGTTTTGCACAAATTTTGAATGGCCTCGCTTTGCACCATCAATTTTGAACTTTTGTTTCAATTACGTC